TTATAAAAAATTACATTGTAAATATACATCACAAAATATACATGTCTGACATGTATCTAAATATTAATTGTAAAAAATTAAAATAATAGCTTATTTGGAATAAAATTTTATCTGTCCACGTAAATAAAAATTTATTTCAGTGAAATTATATTCTTCTTACAAATTTTTAAGTACTTTTTTCAGTGTACTTCAACAAAATCGTTTTTCTTCCGTATTTATTGAAATAAAGTAAAAGAGAAATATTTAAAGAAAATGTTTGTCTATATTATTTTATAATAAATCGTTTGTATTGAAATCATATCTGTTTTGTTTATTATAAATTTAATTTAATACTATCTATTATTACATTATTTGAGTATTTAACCAGACCTCTTATATTCTATATAAAGCATCTGACTACCTGTGAAAATTTCAATTGACATTTAATTAGCCTCTTCAGTATAGAGAGGTGATAAAAATAACGTATAGTACTTTTCGTCCCAGCGTTCAATTAGTCCGATGGCGATAAGATATCGATTCCCTGTCACGATTAAAACCGGTTTATCAAGCTATCAAGTTGCAGTTTTTCCATCGTCCTGACGTCTATTCTGGGCGTACCAACTGCGGTACGCGACCAACGGTTTCCGTTGGACAATGAATGGAGACGATCGATAAATCTTTAACCATGTCATGCATTTCAATCATCCATGTCGCACATGTTATCGGGAAAATTCACTTGTCGACGAGAAACGAAGTTGCGAGATCGAATTAGGTTTTTTATTTGCTTATTCGTTTCAGAAACTCAAATAGAATTTGCCGGTATATTGTCCGTACCAGATAATGGATGCAAATCGATAATCGGTTTTTTATTGTTACTGTCGTGCTGTGTATTAATCGTTGCATCAGGTCATTGCACCTGACGCGATTTCTTTTGATGCAAGGTTCACGATAACGACGCCGTTTGTCACCGCGCTCTATTCGTAGAAGAGCGTTTTTGGCGTGCGGCCGAGTTTTCCTCAGCTTCCTTCGATTTTTGGAACGAATAGTTCAAATTTTCGGGTCCCGCGTGATTCAGAGTCTCGTGTGTCCCACTGCCAAATAATTTTTCGGTAGACTCATAGGTATTTATTGACCGTCAGCTGCATGTCCTCGTTCTTATGGACAAACGAGTCGTTTCTTCGTAAGACACGTAATCCCAGTCGGGTGTTCTAGAATTGTCGCACTTAATCCCGAAGACAGACATTTGATGGCAAATGAAAAATAACGATGTGATTTCAATCTAATACCACGAAATCGGTGGTTGGATGATGTGCGATTGAAAACTGATGTTTTAGTACGAAGCATTAAAAAAATGTTATTGAATCTTTTTTTTCCAAGAAAAATATTATTATTTATTGAAATATATTTAGGTAAAATCGGAAGTTGTAAATATAATAATATCTTACCGTCAAGCAAATAATATATGGTGTATATAGAATAACTAAAATCAAATTTTTTTTCGTAAAACAGAGAAACAAAATATAAAGATTTATTATAGTGCCTTTTTAAATTAGTATTTGTCTTATAATATGATCTCGGACCCCTTTTTTAATTTAATAATAATATCAATAAAATAATTAATTGAACTTATTCATTTAATTTAACAAATAATATCAGAATTCAAATACTTATTATTCAAGCTTAATAAGAATTAAGCAGAACAAATAATAAATTATAAGTGCTCAAAATAAAAAAAGAGAAACAAAAAATGATGACGGATGGAAGGTGCAGGTAGGTTATTCTGCGTATGCATTGTTATGCATCATGCACATTTCAATATTATGATATTGATCGAAATGCTCAATGTGGTCTCACTCGTAAATCGTATTAAAGGATCGGAACGCGTTTGTCGTACGTGGTAAAATCGATAAACGTCGTTGCATGCGCATTACAGGCGAGAATCGGCGGCAGCGATAAATAGACACGTTCACTCAATGAATGCAGCGGATTACGCGCGATGATTCGTAAATGCGATTTCAAAGCGATCGCTTTTTATGACTGCGGTTGGCCTTTCATGGATTGCATCCACTTTTGGACAAGCAGCGTTTCATGCACAAGTGTAAAACATCGTCAGCGACTCATAAAGAGAATTTTTCTTCGTTACGAGCCATAATCGACAAACATATATCTATGACTGTAATGTTGATATTTTCTCAGGAAATTTAAATCGCTGGGGTAGAACTCATCTTTCCCATTTTTTTCCTAGAAAAGAATCTGGTACCAGAAAAAAACCATTTTTTAAGTAGTGTTTTCACTTCTTTTGTTTTAAATTTCTTTCAAAAATCTTTATTTTTTATTTTAAAATTATACAGATTTGATACAATAATTAGTTAATATTTCTGAAAAATTTATTTTAAAATCCATTTTATAAATCTTATTTTTGAAGCTATAACTTTTGAACTATAGTTTTGAAGTATAACGTTTTTATTTTTATCAGTAACTAAACTATGCGACACACACATTTCTTTAAGTATAAAATATGTATTTATTTAAAAAACATGAAATAAAAACCAAAAAGCATAAAACATTTTTCTTATATATTTCTTGTATAAAATTTTCTTTAGTAAATATTATTAAGATTTTTTAATATATATATATATGTATGTGTATATGTATCAAATAACAAATTACTTTAATATAATAATAAATAAAATAATTAATAAATTTTTTTAAATAGCACTAAATTTTAGTAAACCAAAATTATAAATTTTATAAAATGTTATCAAGTAAAAAGAAAGATCCAATATAAATCTCAAAGGAATGTTCTAAAGATGTCCAAAGAACATTTCCAAAATGTTTTTTGAAGAAGGTATATGTATGGAATAGTTGTTTTGTGATACTACTGTAGGAATAAGTAGAATAACATAAAATAAACAAAGAATCAAAAATAGAATTACCGCTGCACTGGAAAATAAACGTGTTTCAACGAAGAAATGCAACTTAGCTATTTATTTATTTATCGAAATTTGGCGTTTTCCACTTGTTTATGTTTATTATTTTATCAATCAATGTTCACTTAACATTGTTTACAGAAATATGTTTTTAATCTACTTTATGTGAAAATAAATGAAATAAGAAATTTATAATTATAATATCTTCAAAAAATTCCAGTTTTAAAAAAAATAAATACATATATAAGTAATATAATTAAAAAAAAAGTGTTTTTTTTATTATGGATTCTTTCTCGGGGAAAAAACGTTTTTTCTTCCCGTCTTTTCTAAATTATAATTTTCTAAGTATCTCTTTTCTCTTCTTCACAACATTACAATGATGACACACGAGTGATGAATAAACGTTATTCGATCACCGGATGAAATTGATTCTAGGAACGATCATCTTGTTCCTGTTTACGAGAACCAAATCTTTCGCTACAATTGAAGTAAACAATATATAATGATTGATTACACGACTCGCGGCCAAGAAAAATCTATCCTCACGTCAATTCAAATTCCTTCTTGACATTTTGCAATTCGTATGGCTCCTAAACTTAGACTACTTAGAGCAAAGCATAATGACCAAACAACAACAATGTTATTTCTTACTCGTTGATCAATTGTGATTTGTTTATGATTTAGCTGTTATGTATCCATCCATCATGTGCTTGTTTAAGAATGTTTTGACAAAATGTGATATGCCAAAACGATGTTGGCGGTTTCCTCTGTGTAAAATTTCCGCGATAAAATGAAACAATCATTCGAAACAATATGGGAGGAGAGGAATCGTAATTACGTTTTGGCTCCATTTCGTCTTTACATTCAGAGTGCGGTTCACGTGGTCGCATGAGGCCACGTGCCGTAGAACGGAATATTTCATTATTGAATTGTAATTTACTCTAGCTATGTGTCGCGTACAAAATTATATGATGCATGCAACGTGCAGAACAAGAGAAACGACGTGACACACGTGACACACGTGGCTATCACATATAAATTATTGATGTGAATTCTTGATATCGCTGCTTTGTAGGATTGAGACATATAATTAAATGACTTCACTTTATCATCATTCTTTTCGATCTCCATTCTTATACACTTCAATATCTATATCTTACATAGTGAGGACTCGGCAATCAAAATGAAATAATTAGTTTATCAAATACATCATGCTTATCAAATACATGTTTTATTAACGATACAATAGAATGCATTGAGGGCTGTACGATTTAAACTGCTTTTGTATTTAAATTAGATACATTTTTACGGCATTTGTTGCGTGTGTATGACAGTTTTAGACGCACCAATGAACAATATAGTACATTTGAACCAAAATTGTTATTCATTGTATTATAAATGATATATATATATGACAAATTTGAAAATTTTATATCGGGGCAGTCGATAATATTAATTAATTATTGTTTCTTTTGTTTCTTACGTAAGAATAAAAATGTGCTCTAAAGAGCACATTTTAGAATTATCATAAGACTATTAAAATTATCGACTGTCGATACAATTGCAACTCGTAATTCATGAACTTAAATAAGATACATTCACATGCAACCGTCAAGCGTCAAGCAGCGGAAGCAGCAACCACAGATTACCAAGCAGCAACCAATCAGCGAGTCGATATGGTCAGTGGCGAAGAAAATTTTTTTGCACCACTGCTCATATCGCCTTGCTGATTGGTTGCTGTTTCCGCTGCTTGAGGCTTGACGCCCTTGACGGTTGCATGTGAATGTACCTTTAAGCGTGAAGGCTTGTTCTTTTTGCCTGCACTGTCTGCACCAGTTCAGACAGTGCAATAAGTTGAAGTGAAACAAACGTATATCTATTTCACTTCAACTTATTGCACTGTGGGCACAGTGCAGAGAAAAAGAACAGGCCTAATATCGCGACAATTGTATGTACTACACGTGTGCCGTATCGTCCTCCTGGAGGCGGGAGCCGTTAATTAAAGAAGAAGTATTACACGTGTAAATTATAGATTCTACTAAGAACAATTTATAAATATGAAGTTAAATTGTGCATTTATTTTTTAAAGAAACAGACTTGTTTGAAACATGAAAAAAAACGAATTAAGTTTAAAGGGATTTAAACGTGCTGAGAACAATCTGCTGCGTAAACTGAATAGTGCGTTTTTGAAAAATTATCCTCATCATGTAATGCCAGGTTACAACTTGAATAGGTCACCATGTAATGAGACATGGGATGAGGAAAGTGCTCAGGGGCTTTATCAAGAATTTCCATATAATTGTGATTTACCAAAGCCATTATTGCCACCAGCAAAGTTGTCAAGAACAGGTAACGTCTTTTTAATTCTATTTTTAAATTTTAGTTTTGTTTGTTTCAATTTTTGTAACAACCTTTTTGAGTTTTATATTAAAATGTAACTCTCTTTAAACGTTTATTTCTTGAGTGTACTTAAAGTTTAATTTAATATCAAAGAGATTTTTTATTTCCTGCATGTTGCATTGTTGCATAAGATATCTAAAAGATGCCTTTTAGTAAAACATCTAAAAGGCATCTTTTAGATATCTTATGCAACATAAATGTTATCTGAATTATGGTTGTAATGCTGATTCTACTAATAAATCAGTAGTCAGAAATCTTAAATCTAGTTTTATAACTCATGATTAAGACTTAACCAAGGTTCAACTTATTTCTCATCTCTTTCTAAGTTTAAAATTAGAAAAAAATAAGGAATAAGTTAAACTTCGATTAAGAGTTAGCCATAAGTTGTAAAACTAGGCCTTAGCTTAATCAGTGAGATTGGCCAATTAGAGTTAGTTGTAGTTGACTATTGGTCAGTTTCACCGATAAAACTTAAGACTATCGACTCATTGTAGAATCAGCTTTAGATATGAACTTCATATAATATTATAATTTTAATATTATATTTAAATATAATATAATTATAATATTATATTAAATAAATTATATTACTTTTTTTTTACTTTGCAGTGCTAAGCGAAGAAGATCCAGCGTTGCAACTTCTTACTTTGAAAAACCACTTAAAGGATGATACAAATAGGCTAATGAATTACTATGAAAGACATAAAAATGGTTGTACACATAAATGTATATATAACAGATTTAATAATAATTTCTAACTATTTAATACTAACTTGATAAAATGTATTTTTGATAGAATTTGAAAAACTACACAAGAAAAAAATTAAGTGGAAGAGTAACACGGCAAATGTACCTAAATATATTGCAAACTTAGCAGAATTGCTTGATATGGAACCGGATCCTTATTTCGAAGGGGTATGTTTAAAAAATGGTATTCATTGTTGCAAAATTAAAAAAAAATAAGTTGTACATTATATGACAACAGAATTTGATTAATAAAATATTCTTTTAGACTTACAATTGGTATTATACTGGTGGATGTTTAAACTATGTTGAGCTAAATAATTGGGATGTTTTATTATTTCCATTCATGGGAGATTTAGGTATTCTAATATAAAATGTATATATATATATATATATATATATATTGATTTGCACAATTGTCTATTTTAATCTTTCTCTTGAAATATTTTTAGTTGCTGCACATACTATCTCCATGGAAGATTTTACATGGAAGCCATTGCTACAAAATTCAGCTAAATGTAAATTACATGGATTGCTGTATGAAATTAGGCAATGCAAGCTTACTGATACATGTATGCATATTCATAATCTTAAAATAAAAAAAGTAGATTACAATATATATCTCTACAAATTTGTTGTTATATTAGTAATGTCTTCATTTTTAGGTAAAATTTTGGGAAGACATAAAGATCAATGTACTCTTTATACACTGTCCAATTCTGAGAATCATCTGCTGCTTAATGAAATTCACACGCAAGCATCAAAAGTGCCATATGTCAGTGCTGATTTGAGTTTAACTAATATTAATTATCATTGTACACTAAACGCAGAAAGAATGCTGTACTTATGGGATATAAATAAACCGTAAGTATTTTTTAATATTTTTTATGTATATATATATATCTTTTGTTCTTTCAATTATATATATATATTACATATATATATAATATATATATGTATGTATATATGTATGTCCTTTTTTTAGGAATTATATTAGCAATGGTTCTTTAGTACAAGACAATGCAACTCATACACATGATGCTTGGGGGTGTATAAGATTCCAAGAAACTGATCCAAACGTTTTGATTTATGTAAACAGATGTTGCTTGCATTATCTTGATACCAGGGTAGGAAACAGCTTTAAATCTAACATATATATATATATATATGTTTTCTTACACAAATTATAAATTTTATAATTTATTATATCCTATAATTTATTTAATAATAAGAATATATTTGTCATTTTTTATACATTTATAAAGTATCTATCTTATTGAACTTTTGTTACAGACTACTCTTGATCGAGCATGTCTCACGTTATGTCCGAAATTTAATTTAGAAAACTGCGAGAGTTTGTCGATAGAAGTACCAAGTAAACACAATTGTTGTCGTTATTTAGGCACTTATCATTCCTTTTTAATGTGCGATAATCGTTCTCCAAAGCAGTGCGTACGGCAAAAATGGACGCACCAGTTCAAAGATACTCCGCTATTGGCAGCTGTAACTAACAAGTTAATAATGTTATATAATAATTCTAATTACAATAAAACATTAATTGCCATTATTACAACTATACTGCAATCTTATTACAGTGACGACAAGGAAATCATTATTCTATCAACTCAAAAAGCTGGCGAGAATGCAATAATTTTAAACACATGGATGAATGAGGAAGAGTCTCATTCATTTAATTTACCCTTCACACCTCCATACATTGCAGAAACATTAAATGAATCTCAAATGCAGGGAATGTGCTTAAATCCGTATTTACAGAGCAGATTTGAATTATGTAATGTTGGTAGCGCATTAGTCACAAATGCAAAGAAAGCAGGAGTATCCTTCTTTGTACAAAATTCTATTGGTATAGTTAATATATCTCATTCTATGATAATATTACTGTATTGGAATATCGTTCCTAATATATTTTTCTTGTATTCGTAGGTGATATATTTTATCAATGTATAACACACGAAGACGTATTGGATAAATATTCTCCCATAAACAACAAAGCGTGTTATGTGTTGGATGTGTGGGAAAAAGCTTTATCAGCTCAAGCTGAACCGCTAGTACCTTTATCTTTTACTGACAAGTGCAGTATGCAATATATATATGAAAGTAATTTAATTTTTATTTAAATATTTTAAATGATTAAATCTGGATTCCATCAATGTGTGTATGTGCGTGTAAGATCAACTTTAATCTTCGGTTCAATTTACTCTTTATTTTTTTGTAGCGCCACTGTTTCTATCACAATGTAGGTTAATTTTAACTCTTCATCTTTTTACTGTCCTAAAAATTAAAAAAGATGAGTAAATTAAATTGAGATTAGAGTTTTAATCTTAATTAGTAGAAACGGGCATAATATAGTCTAAGAAGTTAAATCAAGATTAAAATTAATCTTACATGGATAGAATCGGATCTAAGTAACGCAAATCGTAAAAATAATTTTACAGATTTTACAAATAACAAGTTCAGCTATCGTTCAAGATCCACTAAAGAAAATACAAACGATGATTTTGAGCCAACCTGGAAACAATCGTTAGCTGCATTGGGATCATACATAGATCTGTTAGCACCAGAACTTCTTTCCGTTTGGGAAATACGTGAAGAAGTACCCGTACCAAGAACGGGATCAAATCAGAAAGTTTTGAATTGGTTGGAATCTTCAACTTTGAATCATCCAGCCACACAATCACAGGATATAATTGATCATATTCCTACTCCTATCAATACTGAAGAATTGATTAATGTTCCACAAGAATACGATCTTATGGACATTGACGATAGTAGTATGCTGCAAGATATGCTCTTACCGAAAGTTAAATCAAACTAGCAATATAAAGCGTGTTTGAACAATTTACATAAATAGAAGCAAATAGAAAAATAGAATTGATTTATTTTTTTTATATGAAATATATATCAAAGTTATGTAACGAGTATTAAGTTATGTGTAAATAAATAAAATTATTTTTACAATATTATTTATTGTATTATAATAAAAATTAAACGATAATCACATTATGCACAATGTCTGCCATGCGATGAAATGACTGAATGTTGTTTTTAAATGATGTACACATGTTTAAAATTTTAACGTGATTTATTTTGACTAGCGATTCCGTAGGAAAGATGGTTTCCATCTCGAGATAAGTACTTTGCTGTTGTCTTTTTTATCTAACATTAATTAAGATTAATCTTACATTAACGAAACCGGATATAAAAAGTAAAACGTTATAAAAATAATTTTTATAAATTTTTTACTTACCAAAAATTTTCGTCGATTTTCTTTGAACATTTCTAATGGATTATCAAATTGTCTATAATAATTTAGTACGTCTCGCACGTCTTGCACATTTGATGTTAATATTGCTATGGAATAAAATTAAATTTTTATTATTCTATGAAGATTAGAAGTAATATTGATATTTTTTTTATAATTAAAAAATTTTTACTGGGGATTATAATACTACAGAAAATAAATAGCATAAAAATAACGTTATATAAAATTATTTTCAAGGAAAATTTCCTTTCAAGAAAAATAATTTTAAGATTAATCTTACTTTTCAGGAATGCCGCCAAATCATACAACGTAGTATCATCATCATTACCCGTCCATCGAGGAAGTTTAAATGCATTTTCTGGATGTAACTTCACACTGTCTTCATTCCAATCGATAATGATAACCTATAATCGTAACATATAATAATAATTCTAAAAAGTTTTTACAAATACAGTAAAAATAAATGTAATTTTTTAAATGTATTAATAGTTACTTTACTAAGATCACGATTGAGAGCTCCCAAATCTTTAACGTGATGACCATCCACAAAACGTGTTGCATCTCTCACTAATCTATACATGATATATCCATTTGGATCAAGTGCATCCAAAATAGGAAACACTGTCTATAAACAAAATAGACGGATATAATTTTTCTTATATAAATAATTCTTTTCTGCTAAAATGCACATTTGAAATAAAATAATATTAAAAAATTTAGTGATCACAGTCATACCATTCCTTGTTCAGCTGTATAAATCACAATCTCAAATTGTGGTGGAGCAACTGCTTCTAAAAACTGGTCAACTCCAGGTCGCTTTTTAAATCTCCATCCAGTTTGGTACTACAAATAAAATAACATACTCATACAATATTAAATACAAAGTGAACATGTTTATTATTAGTTTTATTCAATATAATACATGTTTTTACACACATAATTTTATCATGCATATACAAAATGTATTAGAAAGACAAACTAAGTATTTTTTAAATAACGATTCTGTATTTTAAATCCTATAAAATTGTATAGTCTATAAACTGTAGTCTATATTTGAAATAATGGTTCTAAATTACATATAAATGACATAGATCTTTCATAAAAAATTAATGCATTATTCATAGTTATGTGACATGTAATAGCAAACATGTTGAGTTATATTGAAACTTAGATACTCACTGTCCAATCTGGATGTACAAGGAGATCTGTCATTTCCAAAACTAGAGTATACGGTGGTTGGATATATGGATGTTTCAATGGATCAGGTAACAACTTTTCCCTACTTGGTTCTTGTACTAGCTATAAACACAATAAAAATAATAAGTGAAATCTCTAACAGTAATAAGATATATGGGGGAACTACGTATATTATTGTAATTAATTACAAGTATAAATTAATTATAAAAGCCTCTTACCCTTGTATAATAATTAAGTTCTCTCTTGACCCTCTTGTATATCTGTTCAAAGAATGGTAATTTGGAAAATTCATCCTCGATGACATTCCCATGTTCGTCATAATCAGGACTTCCTAATTCGTATATTAAATAAGTGAAGCCAATACCCATAAACATACCAAACGCTGCAAACCCATAGTTCATCATTTTTCTTGATCTTTCACGATTCATTTTTTCTTCTTCGTCTTCCTTTTGTTGTTCACTGTGTTTCTTGTGAATCGTTGCTTCCTGTACCAATGATTCGGTTTCATTTATCGACGACTGTATGTTAGTTAGATTACTAGTAATTTTTGGGCGATCTGTGGCTGCAAATAAAAAATTTTCATAAAATAAATACACGTCTAATACTTTTATATATTATATATAAATTTCTTGAGGTCAAAGCAAGAACTTAATATATTTTTTAAATTGCACATATAATATGTATTGTGTGTTTGAGATACAAGAAAAATAAAAATTGACAATTCGATTTATTATCAACATGAATTTTTATTAAATATTCAGATTATATATTTCCATTGTAGACGTGTGCAATTTGTGATACTATAATTTTAATGGTAAGAGGATCCCACACGTTTTTAAAGAGGAGGTTATGGTCGTGCTTACTTTCGGTACTATAACGATATTTTTGTGTTGATTGAATGAGCGATATTCGGCCAACGGGCCGTTGGAGAGTATAGTATGTCGTTCCCGCGTTTGCATTGTATATTTTACACAAAACTCGCAGACTCCGTGTCGCAAAGGCCATAATTTAAGAATATCATGAGCTTTCCGCTTTTCGGTGCGAATTATTGCACTAGTGCTAGTACACGGAGTACACCGTGCACCGTGTATCTTCCGGCCGGCGAATCTTCACACGCGGCCGATAAATCTGAGCATCCATCTTCTCGATCGAGGATAAACTGGGATAAACGTCGGAAATATTTTGTCGATTAGAAAATTAAATTACACGCATATGTATATATATGTATATATAAAAAGGAAGGACAGACGTTACTTGTCATTGTGACGTCAATAAATAACGATAAATAACATTAATTTATTATTAGGGACGATTACAAATAACTTTTTTAATTGCGAGGGAAGAAACAAAATCGGAGATCTCAAAAAATTTCAAAATTCACAGATTTATTCTGTCGTACATGTGTGCGATTGGACTGTATGATTAAAATATGGCCTAGAAATTTTTGTACGGTATCCAATTTTCATTGATACATTAATGATCTCTATATATATTAATTATAAATTGTCAATATTTATATATCAAGCAAAAGTTAATAAGAATATTGAAAAGAAATGCTGTAACTATATATAAGCTTCTTGCTTCTATATTTGATTTGAATCGATCATGTTTTCGCGGGGCTTTGTTTTGTTGAAGGTCACATGATAACGCTACCGTGAACGGCGTGAACGCACGTTAGACGCCATCTTCTTTTTCAAACGATTTCAGTTCGCGTCGGTTTATCTCTTGTGACGGACTTATATCGCGATTTCGTGCGGATAAAATCCTTTAGAAAGTGCGGTAATCGGAGACAGGTGTAGAAGTACGAGAGACTCTATTCAACAATTCAATTTCGCTGACCTACGTTGAACGTCGTACGTAAATTCACGATCAAGGTAGGTAATAACCGATTCACTTTGTCGAAATTTCATTTCGCGCTTTAATTCTTTGTGTAGATTAATCAATTTAGAGATGCCAATGAGTTTACTGGTTATCGTTGTATCGTGATCTATTGTTATTGCCAACGTTTCATGAACCTTGTCGTTCATATTTTTCCAGGGCGAGAAGTGCACTGATATCAATGCGTTTCTGATGAAAGGTTTGTTTGCGTCACATGCTCCAAGTGCTCCAAGATGTTCCAACATGCTCCTACCATAGCTCTACTCACTTTAATAAGCGCGTTTGAGTGAGGTTTGAGCTATGATTGGAGCAGTTTGGAGCATGTAATGCAACAAACCTAAATAAAGTGAATAGCAATGGTTCTCAAAAGGTTGGTATTATATATGTTGATTCTACAATGAATTGGTAATCTTAATGAATCTTATCGGGGTAAATCGGTGAATAAAATCATCGATTTTTGACTTTATTCCTTCCCATTAATCGAGTTAAACGCTATATAAATAACTTATAAATGCAAAAAATCATATTAACACTTGTTCGTGTTAAGACTGCCGACTACCAACTCATTGTAGAATCAGCTTTAGCAATAGATCACGATATAGCGGTAATCCATAAACTCTTTGGCATCTGTAAAGGAAGCGTCCGTAAAAGCCTCAAAAAGATTAATCAATTATACATATTATGTATAATTTTTCTAAAATTACATTTATTTTATGCTACAAAAAAAGCTAAGCTTACTAGTGAAACCTAGAATTTAAAAGAGAAAAAGGAAACGGAAAAAAGAGAAATGATGGAATTTTTTAAGTGTTCAACACTGCAGTGCAGACTGTCTTTTAGTAGTTCAGTCATTTGTTATGTCCAATCACAATAAGTATAGTTATGTGTGTATGAAGTGAATCTATATTGAAAGAATCTGTTAATATGGCATAGTAATATTTTCACTGAGTTTTATGAAATCGATATATTTATAAAGCGAAATCAGTAACAAGTATAATAAAACTGGCTAAAAGTACGGGAAATAACAATATTAATTTATTTGCGAAATATTAACAAAATTAAAATGTAACATGATAATGTAATATAATGGTGAAATAATGGTATAAATAATATATTTTTTAAATACATAAACAGGGGTGTCATAAAAATAATTATATTCATATATTATTTACATATAAATATATATGTATATGTACCATACGTGGATCAAGTCAAGTTAATATACGCCTCCTTTGAGGAAATTAAGATTTTCTCTTGACTCTTATCTCTCTATCATATTTATATTTATATTATGTATACAATATTATAAGTAGATTTTATTTCTTATATGTATGTATTATATGTACATGTATAAGTTTAAAAAGATCATATGCAATGATTAATGAATTATATTTATACTTAAAACAAATTATTCAAATATTAGTCAAATAATGACACATTTTTATAAGTTTTAACAATTATTTGCTGCAAATATATACTAATACAAAGTTTTAAATTAATTACTTATATTTAAA